TTATTCCCCCAAGGGTGGGTGATTTCAGATGTCACTGTCCTGCAACTAAAACCTCAGCAGTGCTTACCCACCTCCAGCGCAACAGGTATCGCTGTGACTCTGCGGGAGCTGCTATCAGGTATTTCAGGCTCAAGAGGCTCAAGCTGGGCTAATAATTATCTGGGAAGGTTTCAGCGAGCACCTAATACGGGTGCTGGTAGAAGCGGTGCTGCTGAGTCAGCGCTTGGCAGACAGCCCTACCACAGCCAGGTGAACCAGGGCCTGAGTATTTTTAGCCTGCAAGAATGAAGGCCACACCTTGCCCCCAAGCCCCTATATTCCCCTTGCAGTTTCAGGTGAGGGCCACCCTGGGTTTTTATTGTATTATTAACTTGTATCTGTGATTGCTGCAGCCTACGAAATCATTTTGCAATGTTTCCCGGCTCCTGCTTATGCAGTTACCAAATTTATACCCCTCCTTTCCCCAGTTTTTACCTCTGTGTCCACATAGCACTGAAATAAACTCTTAACCTTGACCTTGCTGAGATTTAAATAAAACTGTATCACACAGAGGTTGAGCTGTTTCTCAGGGATGGATTTAAACCTATTGGGATGGGCAGAATCTCAGCATCCTGAACACCACACCATTCTGCACACAGAATTGACGTCTTCATGACATCCCATGGCTGTACTGCGACTAGAAGCTGTGCCTCTATCACCGCATCTTGGCATTTTCCATGAGGGACAGTGATGACAAAGACACCATTGTTTTTTGCCACAGGTATTGTTTGCAGTCACATCCCATCTATGGATGATGCAACACATGTTGGAAATACGTTTTTTCCCAGCTGCATGCCCTGGACTCACTTATATTGGTAACAATCAAAATATAAAGTGAATTCTTCATCTCTGAAGAATAAACATTCTGCAAATGTGCTTATTGGTTAGCGTGTTCACAGAACAATTTGGTTGGAATCGATCTGTGGGGCTCACTTAGTGCCAACCCTGCTTGAAGCAGAACCTCCTGTCAGCCTCAGATATCTTTGGCCAGGCTGCTCGGGGTGGTGCTGGTGCTCAGGTAAGTAAGTCCTGTAGTAACTGTGGCCATTTGCCTTTGCAAACTACATAAAATCTGCATCCCAGTACTTATCTCCAAGTACCATACCTTTTGTTCATTTATGTCTTACTGCATATCATCATAAGAGAGAATAAAACCTCCAATTTAATCACTAACCAGAACTCCTTTCCCAAACTTGGCTTCTGCTGTGGAAGAAAGCCATTGACAAGTCATTCAAAAGTAATTATTTTTATTTAAACTCTATAAAGTATACAACAGGCACTCGGCAATTACAGCTGCAGGGAAAATACAGAGCAAAACAAAAACAGTTAAAGTTTATGAAAAAAAGTTCTTAAATCTACATCAAAAGAATACAACCGGCCAGTGACCGGTGGATGACTGACATTTGTCTGACAAACAAAACCTCTTTTATGTAGGAAGAAAACTGAAAAAAATAAGAATCTAAAACAAATGGCTAGTGTATAAACAGCATAAAATGGGACTTGGGACGATGGGCAACTCCAAACAGAAATTTCTCCTTTTGCCAGTAAGGCTCTAAAACTGCCCAAGTCTCAGTGTTACAGCTGGTTTACACAGCTAGGGAGCTGCGGAGGACAAGAAGCTTCCAGCTTCCCAGTTCAGCTTTGTGGGAGTGCCAAGGGCTCACCTCCGTGGTAGTTTGCATATAGAAGGAGTCAGGGGAAAAGCACAGATCCTGTTTTGTTGAGTGGTGCAAACCAGCTACGCCTTTGAGTCAGGCTTCCAGGTCAAAACACGCAGGTCGGGTTGCACACCGAGTCGCTCATCGTTTTTTGTGTGGGAGACTTCTAAAGGGGTTTGTATAAGACAGGAGGTTGGCGCTGGACAGCACGATGGGTTGAATCTGCACACCTTAGCAAAACAGGAATACCTGTCTACAGACTGATAGGATGTCATATATTAATTTGACCTGCACATAACATTTATACATTTCACAGAAATGACTCTGTATCTCATTAACAGATACACAGCTCTGGTACATTGAACAGAAATAAGAGAACGACTTCATCATTTCTGTAATTCATCAATATTATATAATAAAGGCTTAGAAATTGGTAGCAGAAAGAACTGTAAAACGCAGCAAGCTAAGAAAGGACGACATTTTGAGGTGTGTTTGTCTTTGTCATGCAGCATAACACCAAATTTGTAATCTTTTTTTATAGTATGCCATGGATTTAAGGCACTTGCAACAATGCCAGATAGCTAGTCATGTTCTAAAACTATGAGACAGGTGAGTTAACAATACAGTTGACATAAAGTTTAATAATACTGACAGTTATGACATTAATTCAAGTCTATCTTGATCTAAAAACATTACATTACAAATAAGAAAATGAAGGATTAATGCCATGGAACTCTAAAAGAAAAAGTTATATGTGTACCACAAAATATCAACACGAAAATACCTATTTACATAAATATTTGCTTGTGGTCCTGTTGTTAAATAAGAGTTTGCTATGGATAATGCAGCACTGTGAGTAGCTACAGATCATCTGTGTCTTAATGACACCAACCTTAATACACTCATTTTAAATATGGGAGCTGCTTTCCCCTTATGTAGATATGCCATTGTCCCATATATTAAAAAAGGAGACAAAGAAGAAAGGACAGTAAAGTGGAAACAGAAGCAATCCATTGTTGTGAATATATATATATATAAAATGCAACTCAAATATATTACTTATAAACGAAGGTGGTTATCATATACATATGCTAAATATGTTGTTTAAAGTATGCTTAGGAAAGGTGATGAAAGTCAAGTGAGGTGTTTGATATCAAAATAAACTTATATTCCATATAGTGCATGCTGCACGCTGCAGGTATTAATTACCATGCTTGGCACAAGGGAAAAGGGACAGGAAAAAGAAAAGTAACTCATCAGCCCACTATTAAAACCTTTTTCCTGTAATATTTTCAGGTTGGCCCCCAAACTCATTGTGATGCTTTTCCTCCCGGCAACCCCTTGACTGACAACTGCATCTCAGCTACTGAATATCATAATTTTGGGACAAACTCCTCTCTACGTTCTTCGATAGAAAGTTACCAAATGCAACAAGTTTTCTCCTCCAATGTCACTGCAGCATCGAGTGAAAAAACAGGGGGATGCAAGTAAAGAATTCAGCTTTTAGGTAGCAGCCTGTTTGCTAAGATGCCTGGTGATTATTTTAGCCCTAGTACTCAGCACTGGCTTTCAGAGTTTTCCATCCCTCAGATAAAGGTTGAGAAGCCAGTAGTTACTGTCTTTTCCCTATGGTTTTGAAAGCAAACAAAGTTTTAATGATTAATGAATAGCAGAAATAACCTGAAGTTACTGTGTCAGTGGTGTTGCCTCACCCTTTGGAAAATTCGAAAGGAAATTCAAGAGACACAAACTGGTTTCAAAGGCATCACGATGACTGAGCTCTTCAGTTTGCTAGCAAACATCAGACATTGTCAGTGCTGTCAAAGAAGGGGAGAAAAATACCCTTCTAATACACTCT